GCAAAGTGGGCACTGAGCCAACTAAGTTTGGGAACCTATGATCTCGAATCAACTCCTTAATATTGTTTTTTGCATTTATTTGAAATTAGTAGAGGTTGCAATGTTCTCATTTTCAGCAGTGTTGTGAGGTCGGTTGTTCGACTCAAATTTCGAACTTCAGACTAATTAAGAGCTCGACTACAATTTACATTCTATTAAAATTTTCACCGAATCTTTGATTACAATTAAAGATATTTAATTTAATAAGAAAAAGAGCTTAAAATCTATCTCCTACGTGCTACTCGCAGATTTTAACCATATTGTTACAAATAAATAAATACATTTTTAGTGAATATTATAGAACTAGGAAACTGATGACGCACGGAATTCATAAGTTAAATAAAATTCTAATTTTTTGAATTTTTTTCGCTAAAAAACGTTCAAATTATCAAATTTGTGATTAGTTGCGATTTAATTAATTGTCTCAATAATCATTTGAGTAATAGTTTTGTTCACGTACTAATTATAATATTTCTCTAAATAATTTTCATTAAATCAAAAACTTCGTTTCTTGTTCTAACCCGATAGGATCTAACTTTTGACCAACCGGAATTGGAGTAGAGCAAATTTTTTCTACTCAAACTTGCACATTTTTCTTCAACTCTACAGCTCTGATTTTACTGATNTTTTTTGAATTTTTTCAATAGTTTAACAAGACATGGCCTAAAAAACGTTCAAATTATCAAATTTGTGATTAGTTATGATTTAATTAATTGTCTCAATAATCATTTGAGTAATAGTTTTGTTCACGTACTAATCATAATATTTCTATAAATAATTTTCATTAAATCAAAAACTTCGTTTCTTGTTCTAACCCGATAGGATCTAACTTTTGACCAACCGGAATTGGAGTAGAGCAAATTTTTTCTACTCAAACTTGCACATTTTTCTTCAACTCTACAGCTCTGATTTTACTGATTAAGGGAGGAAAATGAAAAGTTTAAAATCTTAAAAAATATGGCATATAATCAATCCAGGTTGTACTTACGTGATTTTTTTTAATGGCCCCCATATTTCATTTATGAAATTATTATTTGTTCTTATTTATTTCAACTCTTTCAGTTCTGATCCTTGAGTTCAGTTTTAGCTCTTGTTCTGTATTAATTTTTGTATGTTTTTGAACAAGTATTAAAACTATTCTGAATACATTAGTTTAAAGGACTGGCTATTTGGTTATGTGTATTACATGGTTGCCAACTCTACTGGATTTTTCCAGTTTCTCCTGGTCTTCTCTGGTTTAATAAAAATTCCCCTGGTTTTTGTACATTTTAGAAAATTTCCTAAAATTGAGTAAGTTTCCTAAAAAATCTCTATTGAAATAGAAGTTTTGCACAGATTATTGCTTGCTATTATATTAAAATAAGTATTATATATAATAAAGCTAGCCTCATTTATAAAAATCTGTTTAAAACTGTTTTTGTCCTAAAATGTTTAGTTTATTTTCATTCAGAACTTCCTTTTAGAATTAATAAAAAAATATTTTACTATCTTTGATAATTTAAATGCCTATTACTATTCAAAATTATGAGTCAACATAATGCATAACATTTCAAGTTCATTTAATGTCCATCATAACTGGAAAATATTGCAGTTTTTCTATTTTGATGACTATAAAATTCCCTGTAGTGAATTATTTGGTACATTATGCAACAATTATTATGAAATTTATATTATTTCGTAAAATCTACTGGATTTTTTTGTCTGTGGTATTAGCTTTTCTTTTTGGATTTTAAACCCATCCTTACTGACAAAATACTTATTCCATGCCTACTCTTCGCTACACTTTTGTTAAACGTTCTTAGACTTGAGCTACTTTCCATATTTGAATCATCTTGGAATCACTATTCAAAATTGAAATTTTCCTCTTTCTTCAGTTCAAAACCTTTTCAATCCAGTAGTTTATGCTCGACTGGATATCAACGTTTTATCAATAGATTACAGCTGTGAAAAGAAAAGGATAGGTTTTTGACCTATTAATCTACGAAGCGATATAGTTTGCATTTCAGTAGTTAACAAATAGTTTATTCTCTGATTCATATATTCGTTTTTATTTTTTGTACTGTGGCTTCTATAAGTTTTCATTCTTTTGTAGCTAATATTTATTTTGAATTTTCAAACCTTTTAGATGTATTTCTCTTAATCATTGACCTAAACCAAAATAAAATATTCACTTTTATATTTAACAATAAAATATTTTTAATACGATGATTTACTGTTTTTGATGCAATTTTCTTCAATGAACTTAAAATTTTCATAATTTTTTTATTTATCATTTTTGCATTTTTATTAACATTTTATCGTCAGAATTATCCTTTTTAGTGGTACCGTGGGCAAACGTAAATTGTATATCAGTACTTCGATATTAACATCTAACAGATCGATACCTATTTATTTTTTGTCAAAAGGAAGACTAATTGAAAAGAAAGTTGTATATTTTGTATTAAAATGTCTCTTTTTTATTGCTTTAATTAATGTTTTAATTTATTTTCTTTAAAATGAATTTCATAAAAATCTATGAAGGTAAAGTTTTCTTATCCGTTTTGCTTTTAAAGAATAAATACGAGGAAGAAACAATTTTTTCAAATCGAAATTTTTTTTATGCTCTTTAGCCATACCCTGCAACATTTTAGGTTTATTCGAAATATTTTTTTCAAGTGGTCATGAACTGAAGCATAAAATTTTAAAACAAATTGAATTTTTATAAAAACTTTTATCGGGAAAGGGTTAAACATTTAACAGGATTTACGAGCTAGGCCATTTATGTATTTTATATTTTTTATGTACCTTTTTAAAATTATTTATAATTAGTAAGCCAGCTTCTTTTAATTCTAATTACATATACTATGCTACCACTAGGAAAAATATATAAAACTAGGGAAATTTCGCAGCAGTTAGAGACCTTTTTTTTATTTAATTTAATTTTTACGTCTTGTGAATAATATCTGTTCCAATTAATTTTAGTTTGTATAATAGTGTCTGGTATAAGACTCTATAAGTATTCATATTTTACCCGCATAAAAACATATCTTTGAAAATTATACGTGCATCAGTATTGCGTGATTTACCTTCCGCATAATGTAATGCGTTTTTCGGCCTTTCTTTTTTCCTTCACGAATTCGAATGTCATCAGCATTCACCTTGAATTGTTACAATGAGTTAGTTATTCCATTGCACCTGCAGCTGACGATACGATTTCCTTTGAATTTTTCAAAATTGTGTAAACTACACTTTTATTTAATTTGTAAACTGATAATAATGAAAAATTTGAACATAATGTGCCGGTTTTGCTTTCGTTTTCGAAGAAGAGTTGGTGCTCTCATAATTTTTTTTGGCGCAGAGTTTTTATGAAACATATTTTTCATTATTTTGAATTAATTTAGATCTGAATAAAAAAAATATATGATATTAAGCATTTTGATAATTTATGGTTTGATTTAGATTTAAGAGAAACAGCTATTCATCCTTGAAATTTTTGTTAATTTACAAAATCAACTATGGATACATTTTTGAATATGAATGAAATTTGTTTTCAAACTACTTTTTGGATTTAATATTTTAGTACAAATATAATTTCGATAATCTAACATATTTTTTTGGAAACTATTAGACTGTTTTTATAATTAAAAAAAATTACCAAAATATATTTTTGCTTACAATTAGAGCATCAGAAAATATGTTATTCCTCTTTTAACAATAAAGGGAAGAAAGCCCATCTTCATATTGCTAGCCAGGTCAGGGTTCGGAAGGTGTCCATGACTCCAAGTCTGGTTTTAATTCTTTCATAATAATCTTTTGCTCTTAAAACTGAAAAAATAGTTTCATTCCTTATGTTGCAATACTTGGGGAAAAGCTAGATTTTCATCAGTTGTTTATCTAAAGTGCGACAAATTCACGATAATTGCGAGAGTAATTTCTTAATTTTATATTTCGTTTATATTTTTAGTACTTATATTATTTACAACTTATTATTAATTACAATTAATGTACTTGAATGGTTAAGTTTTAGCTGTATTAACTATTTTTATAGTTTCGTCACTTACATCCATAGTTTGTTTCAAAGTGTAACATTTATGAAACAAGCATTATAAGTATATATAATAATTATTATAAAATAGACAAATATTATATGACAGGGATGAGACATTTTTAAATCTTGTAAGAGTGTGGCAATTTGGGAACATTGTCTTTGTGGTTATTTGAATAGCTCATTTTCGTTTACAATGTATATATGTATTTAAGTGTCATTATAAATAATGCTCACATTTTCAAAATGTTAAGAAGGGAGTGTTTTTTTTTTATATGAACGTTCATTTTGGAAAGCATTTTGGCCATTATATATTTCTGTGTATTATGCTACTATCGAGTGGAAAAGGACAGAAACTTGTGAAGTACAAGCCTGGAATCCGTTCTAAGCAACAGTTTGATGTGAAAATGTCACGTTTGGAAAAAGTCGATACAGTATTATCGAAAAAGAATCTGGAATTAAAATTTTACATTTTGCAAAAGAAACTAAAAAAGTGAAATTAAAAAAAGAGTACCAGTTCGACAGACATCAAAATAATAATATCAATAATAGCTCGTTTCTGGATTAACCGTTTCAGTTGCGACTATGATTCGATTTTCTAGGTGGCTCATATCAGTCATTGTTTCAATGTAATTCTAATGAGGGGAGGAAAATTTCTCATCCTTTTACAACAATTAAACGCAAGAAATTAAAATTTTAACATTTATTAACTGATTCATTAAAAATATTATAGTTTGATGTTACGAGTCATTTAACGCGCAAGTGAGGTCACAAGTAACTAAGAGTAAAGAGATTTCAAAATCTCGGTATTCTTTTTTGATGCTCCAAGTCCAACAAATATGTTTATTTTAAATGTTTCAAACTTGTGTTTCATTTTACAAAATAAAATTTAAAAAAAATGAGACTTCAGTCTGTAAATATATTTATTGTTTTACAGAATCCAAATAAAAGTGTGTGTGCAATGTGATCTTAAACAAGGACAATGGACGATGATGTGAATCGAAGTTCCGATTCCCTGCCAACTAGCGAAGAATTTGAGTTAGTTGGAAACAGCACTGAGCCTAAGCTTTGCATTGGAGGTGATAAAAATGAAGAGTATCTGAAACAATCTCTGCAGGAAGTTTTGCGTGATATTGATGGCAAAATGCTGGACATTTCGCCTCCTCCTCACCATACTGCCGTATGTTTCTTTTTTTTTTTTGCATCATTCATTTTTAAAAAAAATATAGTGTGTGCATAGTACTCAAATACATTTACTTATACATATTGTACATACAAATACATTAGTACTTATACATTTATAAAAGCTTTTATTTTCAAAATCCAACTTTAATTCATGAAACATTTTTATATATGAAACAAGCTCAGTTTAATTTTTTTTCTTCAAATGCTAATGCTGAATGATGCTTGACAGTTTGAAGTTCCGGAATGAGTGCTTTTTTTCCCCTTCTGTCTCTGCTGTAGTGAAATTTTTGTTTATTTTCTTTTTTAAATAGACTGAGCTCTGTTTAAAATTAAATAATTAAACGCATCTTTTAAAATTCCAGTGTTATAGCTGGTTTGGACACTTTTTCTGATCACTTATTTTAGTAAAAAAAATTTAATTCGAATTTTTATTTTATTTATTTACATCTAAAATTAACTTAAATGAATTGTTTTCGTTAATATTTTATGGCCGGTAAAAGACAAACTAGCAAAGTGTATTTGAAACTTAAATAATCGTCAATTATGTATTTTCTCTCTGAGTATTCAGAATTAGTGTGATTTTGAGAATTGATTTTTTGATCGAGTTAGCAGTAAATGTTAAAAAAAATTTTTTTTTTCAATATTCAAACAATCAGTCAACCCATTCAAAACGTCTCGAGTCGAAGTATTTATTTTACAGAAATTCTAAATGTGTCCCTTTTTGGTCCACGTTTAGAGTCAGAAGTGTTTGCCTCTTTTTATTAAATCAATAAAAGTTTGAAAGAAAAAAAAGACTTGGATAAATAGTTATGGTTTGTATTTCACTACTTTCTTTTGATTTTCATTTAGGTTTTAAATTTATAATACCGTTAGGTTTCTATTTTTGAATGTAAAGACTGATTTTTGAATAAATTGTCATTTGTTGCATTTATTGGATCGTAAATTTATTTACTTTAATAATCTACTTTATTTTACCTGTTTTTCCGTTAACATATTTCAAATATTGATTTAATAAGCCAACGTTATGCATAAAATTAAGCAGCATTCATTTTTTTCTCATGTTGCTTTTTTAAAATTATATCGTTAAAATCTATATAAGTATTTGTGAATGCTTTTTAAAACTTTGTTTTGCTTGTAAGTAGATGAAATTTTGATTTTAACCAGGAATTTATGAAAATTTATAAATATTAAGTCAGTTTTCTATTTATTTACTTATTATTTACTCACCCCTCCTCAAAAATACTGTTCTGAAAACTTTTATCACTCACTGCTCATGAGCAATCGAAACGGAAATAAACTTATTAACGGAAAGAAGTTGTGTCACTTCCTATTCCCCCCTCAATCTAAAATACTGCAATCCAACTCACACAAGTACAAGTTCACACTTTCCTTAATGTTTCGAACATTCATTAAACATAAATATATATATTTCTCCTTTTCCCCCCCCTCTTTTCTACATGCTAAGTTTTTCAATAACATTTATTCTTAGATCTAAAGCATTGAGCACCATCTTTGTGTAATGATGAAAAAAGAATTTTTTTTTATATGTATTAGAAACTTTTTGTGAATCGCTTAAATTTTTATTTTGTTAATTTTTTTATTCTAATTTTATGTTTTATTTGATTTTATTCTTGTCTGGACGACGCACGGTACGATACGGCTCGAAGGACAGTCCAGAACTTGTTTTATTGTGCTCGCTTCACTCGCATATTCGCTCAACTCGCATCTACCTGTGATGAAGATATTGGTGTGAATTGATATTCGATCCTTCTGCGCAAATTTAATACGTCTAAATTTGAAACCTTTAAAAACTTAACTGCTAATCGTAGCGTATTGTATGCGAATTTTATATTCTAACGTCAAAACTGGATGCGAAAATTTTTAAAAAAGGAAAAGTTTTGTACAGTGCTGATTATAAAAAGAAGAAAAAAAAGACGGACTACCCTGATTAACTTTTGATCTAATGATCTGATATTCACGTTCTACTACTTAATCTTGATAGTTTGAAGGGGTAACCTCTAATATTGCTAATTAATTAATGCAGAATATATTTTAGGTTACGAAATCAGACACAAAAGCGCATTTTCTCTAAATAAACATGCCTTTTTCTCTCCAAAATATTGGGAGTAGCCTCAACCTGGGAAATAGGGTCCCCATAGTTTATAGTCCGATCCAATATTTGAACCCCTTAATGTTAATTTTACTTTTTGCGTTTTTCACCATATCTCGAGAACCGTTTACACAAATTGGAAAAATTTTACTCACAATTATAAAAGTCATTTATCCAAAGATAATTCATTGCAAAAAATAAATTTTCGTAAATGTTATAATTATTTTTTATTATTTTATTTAATAATAATCGAAGAATATTTGAATTGTAAGGTATAAAATTTTTTACGTCATTTTAAAGTAGTTAATTTTACATGGTAAAATACAAAATTTAAGAGAAATCGGTTAAATAAGAAATGGCATTTTGAAAAAATCGTTTACTTAAAATTTGATTTCTCAGGAACTATTCAACCGATTTCGCTCAAATTTCAAATTTTTCCATGCAAAATTACATACTTTAAAAATGACGTAAAAATTTTTATACTTTACAAATAAAAGTTTTAGACTGTTATTAAGCAAAATAATGAATGTTTACTAAATTTTTTTTTATTTTGATTGAAATCATCTTTGGATAAACGAATTTTATAATTGTGTGCAAACATTTTTCAATTCGCTCAAAAATTCTCGAGATATGGCGAAATACGCAAAAAGTAAAGTTAACATTATTTAAGGAGCTGACAGCCTATATACGAACTCGTATACCAAGATGGAAAAGAGCAAAAACTAGTTCAGTATTTTTTTCGAGAAACATTACATTTTTGTAACTACCGAGATTTTTTTTACAATTGTAGCATACATATAAAACTAATTCTTTCCTGAGAATAAGTAGATATTGTTGAATAGTTTAGAAGAAAGATAAATAGTTAAAAGAGAATAGATTTGCTCCTCCCAAGAGCAAGTTAAAACTGAAATGATTTTACTACCAGCTTTTCTGTCTCTCTTTCACCCATGGTCCAAACTTTGGATCGCTCTCCTGACCAAACTATGGGGACCAAAATATTTCCCAGATTGCGGCTACTCCCTATATTTCGAGATAGGTCAAAAATCCGAATCTGTCGAAAGAAAGGCATGTTTGAGAAAGTAAGTGTTTATATCTGATTTCGTAACTTAAAATATCGTCTGCACTAATTAATTAGCATATTTGAGATCACCCCTCGTATGGCGTAAGAGTACATAACTGCAATAATAATAATAATTTTACTGTTTAATTAAATAACGCAGTGAAAGAAAAAAAAACTCCCACTTTTTACATAAAATACTCAAATAATATTCGCAACAAAAGCATTTTCTTTTCATATTGTTACCAAAATATATCTCTAAAATAGTGCAAAATTTTATACTTACCAATAGTTTTTGTGCTTTGAGAGTGAAAAAGCACGTGAAGTTTCCGGTAATTTTTTTGTTTTTGTTTAACATAGATAAGATTAACTGAGGAAAAAAACTAATTTAAATTATGTATAAAAAAAAAAGTACATGATTTTTTTGGAATCCCTTTCTTCTTCATCGAGCGCGATCTCCTAAACCGATAATCTTCATCGGATTTAGTTTCCAATCTAAACACATTGAACGAGTAAATCCGATGACGATAGTATTTGTCTCTAATCATAAATTTGTGTTTCGACGAGTTATTTACTATGGCTTCTTAATTAGAGGGTTATGTATCGATTACTTCTACGTACTGAAACTTCCGCAATCATTTGTCGATCTGCTTCGTTGATTGTGGTAGAAAGGAGAAACAAGTGCATTTTTAAATTCAAATTTATTAAAAAGTTCTAAACGTTTTTTTAATTGTATTTATTTAAATGATTTTCTTTTATCGAATTTTCGGAATTTGTATGTGCGTGTGTAATCGTTATTTACTGTTTTTTTTTCCTCGTGATTAATTGTTTCCATTTTTTAAAATTATTTTTACTTCGTATTTTTGCAACCTTTGAGCTTATTGTTCTAAGAAAAATGGTACTATGTTTTTCTACTTAGTTTAAGCGTCTATTTTATTGCCAATTAATATGCGAAGTATTGATCTGTAGTTAAGTTTATTGTGTTAACAAGAACAAAAGGATTCATCATTTGAGCGTAAAGGAAATATTGCATTTCAAAAAAGATTTTTAATTTTAATGTTTATAATATTGAGATATGGTTTTGTTTCAAAGTTACCTTCTACTCTCATTTATGTAAAGGCCATGGAAGAAGTATGTGCAATTTTTGTTTAAGTATTAAAGGCTTTATTTATTTAACAATATATGTACTAAAACCAGTCTATGTCAGCCTTTGAGATAAATGGCGTTTTTTTTAATCATTTTTATGCAAAACATTTTTATGCGTACCAAATCTAAGAATAAGATATATACTGAAAGTATATATCTAATAAGTATTACTAAGGGATTTATAAAAGAAATGGTAATAAGATTAACTATTTTAGTCATTTTTCTGCCTTCTATATATATATATATATATAAATAANTGTCTAAAAATATATTCTTTTTTAAAAATGTTAAATATATATTTTGATATATTTTAACAAACCCTGAAGGGTTTACAATCCAAATAAATTATGCAATGAGTAAAATGAGTAAAGATATTACACATATAGGGTGGCCACCTGCCTGGAAAACCTGGAATTATCAGGGAATTTTAAAGAAAAACTGGAAATTTTTTCTTCGATTTTTTAAAAATTTTTCTAATTTAATTTATTTACTAATTTTCTTAATTATTATACCATCCGTTACATTCACTTTATGTATCACCCAACAGTTGAAATAGCATCAACATAGCGATACTTTGCCGGCATCAAAATTTGAAATAAATTATATTTCTCCCATGGTTTCTAAACGAATGGAGAAACCTTTGATCTCTATGGAGACTGCAGTTTAGGATAGGCAAAGATTG